TTCTGTATCAATGCCTCATTTCCCCTCTGAGTTAGTTTAAAGTTATAATTAAAAGAAAACCTGTTATCTACCATGCCTTATCTTCAAAGGCTTACAAGTTGATCTGGTAAATTTCCACAAGGTATATTGTCCATCCTTGCCTGTCCTTGTAAAGTTAAGGAAGGCCTAATCCCCCTAACAAACCCTTCTAGGTGCCATGGAGCCCACTAACAAGGTCTGCAAGATGTTGATGGGTCCCATAAAACAATTAAATTCCTTAATTATCAGAGAGGGATGGTTCTTTAAAATAACTGATCGTATTGTCCCCTTCCCCCATCAATTCTACCATGTAACCAATAGAATTATCTTCCTCGGCTACCCAACTCTGTACTTCCCAAAACTATATTAAGGCTGGTGAGCCCTACTTTGGTGTTGTTGGTCATTTAGAGAGTCCATTGACCCAATTTATTGGTTACTGCTAACCCAACTAATAAACTGATCATGCTTAGACCATTCTCTCTCAGTTTACCTTAATTTTCAAATGTAACAGTATCAGCTTAGATACTGGGTCGCTTGCCTATTGAAGACCCTGCAGGGAGAGTAATTGCTTCCTGAGATTCCTGGTACCTTGCCTTGGAGACCCACAGTGAACTGTGTAAATTCATCACCTGCCACATGGACCAGAGCATAGAGATCTGACATTTGGACCTTTCAAAAGGGGAGAAAAAACTAAGATGTCTGGCTTTTGTCCTCCTCCATACTTTTTTCATTCTTTTTCTTTTTCCTGACTCTAGAGGGAAGTGAAGTCATTTCCCTTCTCTTTTTTTCCCCCTGGTACTGCCTCTGCCAGGAAGACTGTCCACGAAAACCTTCAAAAGCATTTAAATGGTGGAAGGTTCTTGAGAACAGAGGAATCAAATATATCTCCTGGCCGCAGAACTGCCAAACCAAATGAAAATGTAATAGGGAAAAGTTTAACAAAATAAATGCAAATAAATACAACACAGATCATAATAATTCATAGTTTTCTAGGTCAATAGGCAGCCAGTATGGGGTCTTTCTAGAAGATCCTTAGGTCCTGGCCATTCTGGGGTGGTATGTGATAGGACCAGGGTTCCCCACTTCTGGGACATAAGAATTAACTACTTTTCCCTAAAAGGCAACAAAGCTGCCCCGGGATATGATTGGGGCAATGGCCTTGATGGTGCTTCATGGTCACCTAACAGCCCAAAATATCCCACCTGTGGGGAGTCAGGGCCTCTCTGCTTGCTGGATTTCTGAGGAATATAACCTGAGTTTGCTCTCATTTCCAATTGCCCATCACCAGCTCTGTTGACTAGGTCCATTTTCATATGGAGCCAGGGGGAGGTTGTGTCCAGAGAAGCCATCACTAGGTCCTTGTGTGGCACATTCTTCCTCGCCATGGAAAGGCCAAGTCTTTTGTTAACTGTTCAACAGCTTGTGAGGACATCGTTTCACTGGCCATTGAACCTGAACTAAGACAGTTAGGTCTCTGCCACTGACAAGAGGTCACTGAATGAGGTCTGCCAAGATGGCTTCCTGGGTGTGGCTGCTAGGCATGCTACCACTTCTTGGAACCACAGGTGAGAGCCGAATGCCAGGTAGATACTGCGAGTCAAGTCGTTACCCTTCATTCATCGCCCATCAGTCCTCTTCCACAATGAAGGGCAAACAACAACAGCTGAATAAGATGGTAGAGGGAGAGTCTGGAAGCAGCAGTAGGGAGCAGGGAGTGTTCCACCTCTCTTATCACCACTGTGACTGCAAGGGAACAAGGGAAGGGCCATTTATTAAGCACCTACTATGTGCCAGCCATTGTGCTAAGCACTTGACAAAGATCATCTCATTTGATAATAATTTGCCTGCTGCAAAAGATGGCCAGACTGTGTCCTTAGGAGTGAGTCAGGTCTTGGTGAGGGAGTGAGACAGATGATGGAGGAAAGGTTTCCTGTAGGAGGTGGCATACGAAATTAGCCTTGAACAAGGGATTCTGAGAGGCACGGATAAGGGGGTAGCCATGGAAGACAGCCTACACAAAGGCCGTACAAAGGTTGGAGGTGTAGTGGCATCTTTGAGGCACAAGAAGGAGGTCAATTTGACCAAAAAGGAGAGCACATGAAGGAGAAGAATGCATAGTGTAACATCCCCTCTACTTACCCGCCCCTTCTGCATTTACATCCTCAGAGAGTAGATAAACCATTTCTCTGGGTCCTAGGTTACCCTATGGGGCTGCTCTCCTATTTCTATAGATATTGAGCCCCCATCAGTGTGTTTACCCAGGAAACATTAGTCAGACATGATTAACTCAAGTAAAGACTTTACTAAGGTATCAGGGTATCAGGGTATCATGGCAAGGACAATAGTTACAGAAATTCATCTCATGAGGCTGGGGCAGACTGTCTCACAAATAAACACAGCTTCAGTGGGAAGAGTGGAATCCACTTAGAGTACACTGGTAGTGAAACACATGTGGAGAGCTCATATGGCCAAAGAAACTCACACTTCCAGCGCTCCTGAGCCTCAATGTTCTTTCTCCTCTGAGGAACCTTCTCAAGCTCCACTCCCTGCAACGGTTTCCTCCCCCTTCTCTCCATCTTCCCACAGTGACTTTCCTAACCCTAAATGCTCAACTGGGCTCTCAGGGTCTGATCCCCTCTGTTATATGTGTCTCTATAGAGAGCGTATATCTGCTCCCTCCACTCCTAAAGTAGATGCATCTCAGTGACTTAAATGCCCTTGAACTGATCATCTCCAACCTTCTAATTTCTCCTATTATGTTAGAGAGACACCATGGTCAATATGGGGGAGGGGAGGATGGAAATTCCTCTTCCTGCCCAGCTGCCCTCTGGGATAGGTATGAGAGTCATGCTCCAGAATTCTGCCCTAAACCTGACCTCCCAAACTATGGACTGCCTGCAGGTTTGGCCGCCTTAGCTACAGAAAGGCATTAAGGGGTGTGGTCAGTTATTTCCCTGGCCAATGGTCTTGCCCTTTCCAATCCAATCAAGGAGAAACTTATTTGTACTTTTTTAGGTAACACGGGGCATAGGTGCATCTTTGCAATTCATTTAACATCTGGTCAATAGGAATGCTATATTATTTCTGTCATCTGCCCTTTGCTTTCTGTGATTTGGGGTGGGGGTGGGAGTAGGAAGCAGGCATTTAGTAAGCACCTGCTATGTGCCAGGCACTGTGCTAAGATCTCATTTGATCCTCACAACAACTCTGGGTGGTAGGTGCTATAATTATTCCCATTTTACAGCTGAGGAAACCGAGGCAGGTAGAGGTTCAGTGATTCGTTCATGATCACCCAGCAAAGAAGTATCAGGGTTTAGTTTGGAACTTAAGTCTTCCTGACTCCCGGCTTTGCACACTATCCACTGTGATCAGTGAAGAGATCTAGCTGATCTCCACTATGATTGCCAACATCAGCTGAGGCACAAAGGAGGAGGGGTACAAAGGAGGGGGGACACAAATCCTGTCAAGCTTCAGTAAGAAGGAAAGGGAGGCTGCGGTCAGGCTGTCCAGGGCTTTCGGTGCCCACATGTTGTTCAGTCGTGTCTGACTCTTCATGACCCCACTAGGGTTTTTTATGAAGATACTGGCGTGGTTTGCCATCTCCTTCTCCAGCTCATTTAGTGCCCGTGTGTCTGGATTGAGTCCTACTGTTGACGCATGAGGAACTGTGTGACCATAGATGATGGGTCATAAACCTGAGGAGAAAAGATGAAAGTTTTATTCAATATTCCAATCAGCCAGAGCATGCTCATAGACAGCTTTAAGAGTCTACAAAGTTCTTGAAAATTTCCAGTGCTAAGAAACAGTTTTGGAAGGAGTGAGTACCGCATCTAAAAGCCAAATTCTGGACCTTTGCAATTTCTTGCACATCTGCTGTTTGGTGATGCCAGAAGGGTTTGGTGACAAATTAGATCAAACATTCCTCAAAGACATGTTTGTTTTTACAAATGCAAGAATAAGCTCTAAGATTGCATGGAGGAGTTCACTGAGAGTTCAGGTTCCAGCTCCAAGATGCTGGAGGTTGCTTGGAACACACTGGCTCCATTTTGAAATTGATTTGTTTTTTAGATGTCCCTTTCAAAGGGAACCCTTGCATGGGCAAGTCACGGGACTCCTCAGTTCCAGCAGAACCCTCTACCTGCCTCTCGAGATAATTTTCACACTAGAGTTCCTTCCGTCAAAGAAATCACAAGTCTGGATCTCCCCGGCAAAACACACAGGCACACACACGAAACCCCATGGATTCCTCACAGAGCTCCCCTCCATTTCAGGAGGGGAGGCTGAAGTCCAGAGGACCCAGTGGGTGGCCCAGCGTGGCACAATTTCATAGCAAAGTGGAAATTGCAGCCCAGATGACCTTGGCTCCGCTGCTTCGCTCGGCCTGTAGAATGCGGGGGCTTGTCCCTTGCCATGGCGTCCCTACACTTCCTCCACATCTTATTGATGTCCTTATCAGGGCTAGGCCATTTGCCGAATGACTCCTGGGCTAAAGAGCTATCTATAGGGGCTCAGTGGAGCCCTTGGGACTTGGATTTAAGGCGGGGCAGAGGGCTTGCCTCAGCCCTCCAGGTCGGGCCTAGAACCAGGTTTGATCTACTGCGCCATGCCCTTGACAAGGCACAGAGGAACCGGGTCTGGGGTGACTGGGGGAAGCAGGGGCGTCGGGAGCTGGTCAGCGCTCATGACTGACAGGGGTTCCTGGAAACTGGGGAACATACGGGGAGGAGGGGTTGAGTAGAAGGGGGATAGAGGGGGTAAGGACGGAGCTGGAGGGAGGAGGAATCCAGAATCTCCTCTGGCCCTTCCCAACTCTGGCCTCCAGCCCCGCCCTGGTCCATTCGTCCAGCCGGGGCCCCTAAATATTTTCTTACTCACAGGAACCATCAGACTTCCCCGCTGCGCTCACGGTTGCTGTCAGGCGCTCCGGTCTCCGAAGGAGCACTATCCTGCGCGCCCATCTGAAGCTGTCCAAGCTCGCCCCATGAGCCAGCCCGTCTAAGCCATGCCTGAGCACACTGCCATCACCGTGCAGGGCGGGGGACCAGAGAAGGGGAACACTTCGAACCCTCCTCGTGACTACCTGCTGTTCTCCCTCTTCAACATTCTGGTGTTGGGAAACCCTTGTTGTCTCAGCTTCATGGCGCTCGTTTATTTGGTCAAGGTAGCTGCAGCAGCTGTGCGGTTCAGCAGGGGAGGGATAGTTGGCTCCCAAAGAGAGGGATCCCTTGGCTGTGTGCTCCCCGTTCATTCCCCTCACTCCACTAGGCTCTGCCACCTTCCCCTGCGTCTCTTCATTCTCCCCTTCTTTCTTTCCTCCTCCCCTGCTCCTACCTCCCTCGTTCCTTCTTCCCCTTCTCCTCTTGCTTCCTTCCTTCTCCCCCACTCCTGTCTTTCCTCCTCCTCTCCCTCTCGTCCTAACTCCTCCTTCTTGTCCCTGCTTCCTTCCTTCTCTCCTTGTTCCCCAATCTTTCCCTCTCCTTTATCCTCCCTCCTTGTCTCTTCTTCCAACCCCACTTCTTTTCCTCTTCTCAAGTTCCTTCCTTCACCCACTCCATTCTCTTTCTTCTTCTTCCTACCCTTTTCCTCCTCTTCTCAGTCCTTAGTTCTTCCTCTGAGGTACTAAATTGTAGTTATGACTCAGGAAATTTGACTGCTACAGGGTATTGGGGACATCCATCTGTCCTGGCCTCTCAGACCCTCCAGGAAGGCTAACTCCCATCTGACCAAGGATAAGGACTGCGCTCCTACAGCACTTAAGGGAGGTCAGGGCTGCAGTGGAAGAAAGAAGCTGGTTCTAGAACCAAATACTAGGAGAGGGACCAACAGAGGAGAAGGGGTGGAGGAAAGCAGCGTGGAGGCAGCGTTTGAGGTGGCCCTTGGGAGGATGGGACTGTCCAGAAGGAAAGAGGACATTCAGGTAGGGGGCAGCCTGAGAAAAAGAACAGAGATGGCAAAAGGTTAGGAACATTCAGGGAAGACTGAGAGAGTTGTCAAGGAGCAGGTTATGTGTGTGTGTGTGTGTGTGTGTGTGTGTGTGT